CCTATCCGTAACTCACATGTGAATACTTTCCTACTAGTGTCCAGCTCCTGATCCCTGCAGTCTTTGTGAATTTGAGTTTCCTAACCCTTCTGACTTCTACATATTTTCTGGTGTTCAGCTTTGGGTCTGTGACATTGATGCCTCTTGTTTTGCAGCTTTGGAGACATGTTGTCCTTCACTCTTACAGCCTTTGTGGAGCTAATGGACCATGGCATTGTGTCATGGGATACATTCTCAGTGGCGTTCATTAAGAAGGTAATGTAGTCTGCGCTTCCCCAGTGGAGGCACTGTTCCTCTTCTCGTGTATAGGTCTCTTCTCATGTAATGTTGAAAAGTGGTAGTATTATATATGTAGAGAACAAGGTCTCTAAATGCTGTGTGAAAATTGCATTTAGTCCCTACAGAGATCATAAATGGTAGCATGTGAGAACCTAGAGTTAAGAAGAAATCAAAGTGCTGTGCTCCAGTCTGCACAGTATGACTGTAGATCTTAACACCCAAGCACAAGGCAGAGATAGGGATAACTGGGAATGATGTGGGCTTTTAAAATCTTGAAGTTCACCTTCAGTGACACACCTCCTAATCCTTTTCAAATAGTTCATCAGTGGGGGGAGGGGTGTTGACTATGGAACTACAGCTAAGCAAGGAAATACATTGTCTTTGGGGACCATTTTCATTCAAAGCATCGCACTGGCTGAAAGGATATAATGTAATAGTTTTTCCATTTGACATTCATCTTGGGGAACTACCTAAAGTTAAAGGCAGGAGAGAGACATACTCTGGACCAAAGGTGTTAGCAATGGAAGCCCTGCAGGTCCCAAGTCTGCGGCGTAGTGCATGTTTACATAGTCTTTGGAACAAGGGGATTGCCAGTAGAAGCCCGGCAGGTCCCACATCTTCAGAATGTTGTGTGTTTACTTAAGGTAAGAGCAAGTTGGAAACTAAGGGACTTCTTGACATACTTTTAAATCTTTTTCTACATCTATGGACCCAGAAATATAGGTAAGTAAACAAGAATCATGCTTTTGTTAGTAGGTTAACTTGCTCAAAAGAAAGCTATTATAGATGATAAAGCGAAAAACATACTTATGTGTACAAAGAACATTCATTGGGTGGTAGCTGGGGCTGTATGAAATATAAGAATAGAACAGGAATTGTTATACCTTATCTTTCTAGAATATGTTCTAGAGAAACAAATCCACCCATGAAGATACTGGGTTTTCTGGAATTTTGCACTTAAAAATTGTAGAACTTTCTGAATTTACATCAGGTCCTTCTTTCCTAATGCGAATGCTCTGTTCATCATATGCCAAAGAACCTCTTGCCAGAGAGTGACAGCACTGTTCTGAGTAGGAGTTCCTGGAAATTATGTATGCTCACTGGCATTAGCTTTCTGGGTTCACTGTAGTTAACCTCCTCCTCCTCTTCCTCCTTCTCATGTGTTTGTGTGTGTGTGTGTGTGTGTGTGTGTGTGTGTAGCCAAGCCTAGCTTCTTTCAATGAATAGTGAAGACAAGCCTCTCAATGAAGTTTGGAGGTTAGCAGGGTCATGATAAAGAAGACTGTCCTCAGTGGCCTGCCTGGGCCAGGGTTCTTTCTCCTCAGCTTGTGCTTCCCTACAGTCATATAGTCATAGAGCCAATAGGTGATTTCCTATCCAGCACTGTTCGCTGTGGTGCCCTCCCTAGCCTACCAGCAGATCTCAGTGATTCCTGATTCCATCTGAGCCACCTCCACAGCCTGAGAAGCATTTATTGTTAAAGGAAGACCATAGAATTTGAAAAACAGAAGGAACAAGGTAAAACTTGATTTAAATAGATTTTCAAGGAAAATGCTCAATGTCAGGAGTAAGTAATAACAAAGCTTTGTTTCTTTAAAATGATCTGAATTAAGTGTTCAGAGACAATGGAAGTAATTTAGTCTTCTAACTAGTTAAGATGATTTCAATTCACTTTAAATTAAATTTAAAAATCACAGTAAAACTAAGGAAGCAAAAGCTAATTGTCTTGACATTTTAAATCAAAATTGTAATATATTTAAAAGCAGCATATTTAATATATTCTCATTCTAATTTCTATGCTACTTAGAAGACTTTTTTGAAAAAAAAAACAGCAGAAAATTACTTAAGTTGTGTAAAGTTAATTTTTTAAATTCAGTATCTGAGACAATTCCGGCATTGTCAACACCTGGATTTGTGTACAGGGACCTCTTCTAAATAGAGATTTATCTTAGCAAAACTCAGCTAGAAAACATACAAAGGTGCTTTTCCCTATGGTCTATCTTGGCTTCTTAATGCCAATTTTATACCAGTTTGCAGAAGTAGCTTTGCCATGCCAGCCACTGCCTCTTTTCTATGACTTTATCGTTCTTTGTCAGTATGACTCTAGGCTCTAGTTTACAAATTGTGGCTGCAGCAGATTATAACATTTCATCACTGCTCTGACACTTGGGATCCTTCAATACTGACCTGTACAATAGGGTTGTTTTGTAAAGACTTGGTACTTAGAGAAAGGGTGGGCAGACATAAGAAAGAAAGGAAAGAATAGAACATCTGTGTCAGGAGTTGGTCCCCCCCCCGACCCACGCCCCAGCCAAATAAAATAACTAGTATTCTGTCTTGGAGGGAAACCTCATACACAGGCTCAGCCTACAGATATTTTCCATGGTGAGGCAAACATTCAGACTTTTCTCTTCCTTGATGCAATGAATTTTGCCTTTTGGAACCTGGAGAGATTTATGAGCCTCTGCTAGGATAATTAGAAATTTGACAGTGCAGCTTTATGCTGACTATGGATGGCCTTTTAAAGTTTGGATAGCATTCAAGAAATTTGAGATGTAAAATGTAGTTTTGCTATCATTGGTTTGCATACTGTTGAGGCCCCCTAGATTCTGTATGTATGTGTGTATGAGGGGGGAGGGATTATTTAGCACATGTGTGTAGATGTATAAGCATTTGTGTTGTGTGGAGGTCAGAGGGCCATCCATCTTGATTTTTTTTTCTTTTAGACTGGATGTCTTACTGGGACCTAAAGCTTGCCAATTAGATTAAGCCAGCAAGCCTCAGGGATCCACCTATTTCCCTCTCTCCAGCAATAGAATTGCATTCCACGCCACTACACTTGACTTTTCACATGGGTGCTAGGGATCAAACATAGGTAGTCATGCTTGTGAGGCAAACATGTTACCAAGTGAGCTATGGTTCCATTCCTGCCCCTGAGATCCTTAAACATTGCTTACTAGTTTGCCTGAATTAGTGACACAAGATAGTCAAACTCATTCTTATTACCAACTCCTCTAGTTTCACCATCTTCTGGATATGGACTTGTTTTCACCAGTCTATGCTATGCCTGGCTGAGCTGTCTCACCTGCCTTAGTGAACGCTCAATAAGGTGATGAGAAGCCAAAAGATACTGTTAATCTTGTGATTAACCTGCTGGTCTGTAATCTCCTATCGCTGTACTCTCACCTATAATTTACAGACTGGACACAGAGGGTATTTGTACCTTCACTGTTAAGGAGTTAGTTTCCTAGAGGAAGACAGTCATTACATTTGCTTAGATCACTCCATACTGAAAGCAGTGGACCATTTAAATGTCTGGTTCTAACTACTGATGTATAACAATGAAAGAAAGATGTCACTTTCAAAGCTGGACTGATGCTCACCCCAGAACTGTGAGCGGACTCTGCCGAACTGGACACACACTGTCCACCAGTCATGTTCCAAACTCGGGGTTTATATAAAATTTTCATTAGGTGAAATGTTTTATGGGTGCAGAAAGGATTAATACTCTTTGTTAAAGAAGAGGTGATTTAACAGAAACAAACCATAGAAAGTACTTATGTGAATGGTTAATTTCATAGATGAGATATATGAAGACATGGCACCTAAAAATGAAGTCTGGGTGAAGATGTTAATGTCCTTAAATGAAAGCAAAGGTCATAGGTGATTTTACTCCCACTCAGTGTCTAATATTCTTTGAAGAACTCACAACCTATTTTTAGAAGGTACAGTTCATCTTAGAAAACATTTGAGAGTACTGATTGGATATTTTGAGGAAGTCATTATTGTCCAAGGATATTACTAAAGTATGTGGTAAATTTGCACTTAATGAAAAAGTTGAGAGATGTTAGTGAGATGCCTTAGCAGTTAAGAGATGGGATGCTCTTCTAGAGGACTTGTGTTCAATTCCCAGTACCCATGCTGCCGCTCACAGCCATCCATAACCTGAGTTCCAGGCGATCTGAAATTTTTTCTGGCCTCTGTGAGGACCTGGTACACAGGCACCTAGGCACATATACAGACAAAACACTACTATGCACAAAAAGAAAATTTTTTGTTTGAGCACTGGAAACCACACATTGTGGTTCATGACGTAACTCCATTTTCCACAACAACATTTGAAAGGCTGGGGCAAGATGATTGCTATGAGTTTAAAAATCAGCCTGAATTCCTGGAAATCTTGAGCTATGTAGCAAGACTTTGTTTCAACAGAGAGAAAGCGGTAGGGAGGAAGGAAGGCATGGAGGAGAAGGAGGAGGAAATGTGAGCAGAGAGGAAACTGAGGGTGGTGCTTGGGAGCAGCGGATTGGTGTTGTGTATACACATGAAAGTGTGTCAGAGGGAGATATGTTCAAAGAGATGGAGGACAGGAAACTGGGAATATTAACTAAGAACGATTATGGAAACTTGGAAAGTATGATAGTTGATAAGAAGGAAGAAGTCAGGAAGAAGTCAGGAGATAATGTGATGGTTTCCACACCATTTAATATTAGGCTGTATTGCAACATCCAAAGGACGTGACCTTTTCAGTGCCAAGAACAAGCAAAGTGCTTCATAGTACATGCCCCTTAGTCTATCCCTGCTGGATTATCAGGATCCTAAAGTTAAAACTGTGTTGAGTCCTGTTCGTTTGTATAATTCTGAGTCTGAAGGTCTGATTAAATGTGTCATAATTGAATCTAGTAATGAATGAGTAGATACTGAAGGAATGAAAAAGATGACCTGCCCCTAGAGGCACTGCGGGTGTTTCTTCTGTGTCACATGTGTGTCAGTATATGGCAGAGAGATGAGAGGCTATGTCTACACTCAGTGTTGTGATCTATGAACATCTGAATCATTAGGAGCCTAACATTCCCTGAAAAACAAAACAAAACAAAACAAAACAAAACAAAAAGCAAGCCTGAGATGACCACCAGTCTGGCATCAGGAGCCTGGACAGGGAGGTAGCCTGAGCCAAATCTGGCACCAAGCAGGCCCGGATGGGTTCTCAGGATGGGGAGCAAGCCAGATACTAGAAGAACCCAGCTTGGGATCACAGGCCTCAGGCAGGGCTGAGTCCAAGACAGACAACCCTTGCAAGAGGCCACTTCCATGTGCCAGGTGAGGAGTGAACTTGGGACATCCACTAGATTGGCACAATGGTACCCAGACAGGGAACTATCCTGAGATGACCGTCAGTTCAGTACCATGCAGGCCTGGGGGACAGACCATGCTGGAGATGACCCCTGCCTAACATCATAATGCAGAAGCAGGGTAGAGAACTCCTGAGACCACTTCTGAGATGACCACAGACACTCAGAGACCCTGGGTATCACCATGAAAAACAAGTAAGTGGTGAAGAAATGGAAGAGGGGGAGAGAGACAGAGGAGTGTGGGTGCAATGAAGAGAAACAGAACTGGAGACTTGAGGGCAGTGAGGAACAGCCTGATGTGAGTAGCTGGTGATGCCACTTGGGACCATGGTGGGGTCCTGGCCTGTCCTACCATCAGGGCGCTATGTCTCAATCTGTGGCTTAGAAGCAGCAGGGGTCTATTACCACCAAAGGCCAGGCAAATGTCTCTAGTCTGGATTGCCGCCCAGGGACATGTTGATGTCTGAGGGCTGTGTAGAACTGGCCCCTCCCTTACCTGGCCTTCATGGGAGAGCTGGCCCTGGGGGCATGAGAGCAGAAGAGCTGACTCTGCTCCTAGCCAGCTGCAGTACTCAGAAATTGTGGGTGAGCCAACCCAAGGGTACAAACATGGGAGAGCTGGCCCTACCACTCATCTTCCTGTGGTGGTGTGGATGAGGGAGAGATACCCTCCTCCCACCTTGCCTCTCATGACTTGCGGCAGGTGGGAGGCCTGGCCCTGTGGTCATGAGAACAGGAGAGATGTCCCTGGGCTTCACCAGGTGCAGCTGGCCACAGGAGGGTGGGGGGGAGGCATGAGTGTGGGAGAGCTGGTCCTGACACTTGTCTGCCATGAGGTGATATGGGTGAGGGAGAGATGCATCCCTTGTCACCTACAGAAGGCAGGAGGACTGGCCCTGGGGCCATCAGAGCAGGAGAGCTGACCCTGTCCCTCATCTGCTGCAGCACTCAGCAGAGCAGGCCCTGCACCTCATCTGGGCAGGACAGTTGAGCAGACCCTGAATGTAGGGATTGCAGGTGAGCTGGCCCTGAGGATGTTTGTGCAGGAGGGCTAGGCTGGCCCTGCCTCTTGTCTGCTGGGGAGTGTCACAGATGATGGGGACACTCACTCCTTCCCTTCCTTGTCCCTCACCATCTATGGCAGGCAAGAGTGTTGGCTATGTCTCCAACTAGCTGCAGTACTTGGGAGAGTGGGATTAGCCCTTTGCCTGAACAGCTGGGTAGAGCAGGCCCTGATTGCTGAGGTTGCTGGTGAGCTGGCCCAGAGGGAGTGAGACTGGGGGAATTGGTGGGCTGATCAGTTTAGATACCTCCCAGGCCCAGAACCAGGGCTTTGAATTGGCCCACCCCAACATCTACCCAGTTGATGAACTGCTGGGGCGCAGAGGGGTTGTTCCTACACATCCAAGCTACAGGATTCTTATGACACAGGGCACAACAGGATATATGAGAGGAGCCTCAGTGAGGTTCCAGTATTAATAGAGTAGCAGACGCCAGAGGCCTTGTAACAGACCAGTGACTCATTGCAATGAACATTTGCAAGCAGAGAAGCGTGAACAAAAGGATATGCTGTGGGATGCACTGTGACACACTACTGCTTCCACAGTGGTTTTTTTTTTTTTTTTCTCTGCTGGGGTGGAGGTTGGAAGGATGGAGGCCGGGTATGTGGGGAAGGGAGGATGAGTGGGATTTGGGTGCATGATGTGAATTTCACAAAGAACCAATAAAAAAATTTTAAAAACGAGTTCCACAAAAAAAGCAACCCCTCCCCCCAAAAAAAAAGAAAGGAAGAAAGAATAAAGGAGATGAAGGCTGAGGGTGGAGGAATCTGACAGTATCAGCAAGAAGCTTCAGACCCCCTGGACCCTAAGGCATATCTCGCAGAAGGGAGGCAAGAAGGGTAGCTAGGAATAAAAGCATCAGTGGAAAGATAATAAGCATTGCAATGATCTCTCCTTATGAGTTTTCTAATACTAGTTTGAAGAATTACACAGGGATAATAACAAATGATGGGGACTGAAGAGGAAGTCAGGGGATTTATATTTTGTTCAGAAGGGACCTATCTTAAGTAGACAGCCATGAAAGCTGTGAGGGAAATTGGACTTGTGTCAATAAACAGTGGACTTAAAGGAAGAGAGGTGGTGATCACACAGCAGATTTTGTAGGTTGGAACAGATGTGAGAACTGAGGCAAGAGCTTGCCAGGGACAGTAAACACGTTTGTATGAGAGGAGCTGAGATGGTCTTTTAAGGGTCTTAAAATTCCCACGCACTTCCTGTAGCTTGTGCTATAAAAACATAGTCTGTGGAATATAAAACCTCCCGTCACTGAATGGCTTCGTTACTTCCTATTGCCTGAGGTCCACATGGATCTGGCAACCTGTGCCCATCCCTGCCTTCACCAGCGCCCTGTGAGAGAGACTGTAACATGGTAGATGGAAATCGCCAGGGTGCCTTTGCATTTTATCAGGAATTGAAGGGGCTTGAGGAAAGGGAGTAGGTGACATGGCACAAAGGGGGAAGCTGGTATTGATAGAGGAAGTCGAGTGTTTACCCATCATAGAACCAAGCCAGGCAGCTTTTAAGTCAGTCAGGCAGCTTTTAAGCCATCCTTGTGTTGATGTAATAATCACTTTTTAGTGTAAGCTGTCAGCAGACAGCAATAACTTTTAACGAGATCTCTAAAATAAAGCCTTTATGGTGCTCATGTGTTAAGACTGCTGTGAGCCCTTATTCTAACCCTGTATTTTACTTCCCTCTTATATTGTGATTTATTGTATTTAGGCTTTTGCTGATTAATTTCATAGGGAATGTGTCTTACTTATTAAACTATTATGCTAGCGTTGCTAATTTAAATGACTTCTGCCTGCTACATAATGGAGGGAAGAGAAGAATTTCCTTTAGTACAAGAAATTGAAAGCTTGGGAACACGAACACACACACACACACACACACACACACACACACACATAAGTATATAATAGCCAGAAGAGTGAGTACATGCAGAGCATTGCCTGTTGAATTATATTGACAAGTATGATTTATGTGAGCTCCTTAAGAATGTAACAGGAACACAATAAAAGCATAAAAATCACGGGTCTGGATTGTGTGGAGGAAGGAGCAGCCTAGGACTCAGAAAGGAGAGGCCATTGGCAATGTTGAAATTGCTATCTTAACAGGAAATCTGTTTCCTGAAAGCTGAAACTTGGAATAATAATCCTGGGAAAACCAGGAAGGACGGTCCTTTGAAGATGTCCCTTACAGAGGCAGTCAGTCATTGCTAAATTTTAAAATGGATAGTGTATTTTGGAGGATCCATAAACCTTGTTGATTCCTTGTGTTTCTTGCTCCTTTGCAGTATGTTGTGTTCTCGCTGCCCTGTTCTTCACTGAGCTCCCGGTTTGCTTTATAGCATCCCTTCTTTCCCTCTTTGTTTGATTTACCATCCATGCATGAGCACTCATTTGTGCCCTGATTTTATTTTCAGATAGCAAGCTTTGTGAACAAATCTGCCATAGACATCTCAATCTTGCAGCGGTCCTTGGCCATCTTGGAGTCAATGGTTCTCAACAGCCATGACCTCTACCAGAAGGTAGCACAGGAGATCACCATTGGCCAACTCATTCCTCATCTTCAGGGGTAAGCATGCTAGGCACTCTTGTGCCTTGATTCTGGAAAACAGTCACTCTGATGGCCTAGGAAACACTGTGATGTTTCAGGTACATGCACAAAACATCTTGATTTGGTAGCTAATCAGGCACTACTCTTACTGGTCATCACACTGAAATGGCACAGTGGCTTTGTCTTCTCCACATTCCCAGTGCCATACATCTGTCCCCAGTGACTAGACCATAGAATACATTCAACTTTGGTAAATTTTGGTAGTCATTGGTTGCATTTTAGTTTTTATAAGACATACTAGTATTATTTCTTCTCTTAGGTTCTCAGCAGTGTCTTTCCTATAATGTCTAAACTATTACATATAATATTTTCTATGGTACTGAGAATATCTTCATAATTATTTTGACATTTTAAGATTTTTCTAGATGTTTTAAAATATGTTTTTATGAATTCTTTGAGAATTTCTAACAATGTATTTGATTATATTCATTCCCTTTCTCCAATCCCTCCCAGACCTTCTCCCTTGGTTACCCACCACACTTTCTATCTCTCAGTTTTTTTAGTCCAGATCTGCTTGCCTCTTCTCCCCATGGTCCTTTTCCACCTTCGTGGCTTCTGTAGTTACTTCAGGTTATATATTGAAGCTTAATGTTTGGAAGTAGGATCCATATTTGAGAGAGAGAGAGACAATGTGGTGTTTGTCTTTTTGAGTCTGCATTACCTTAATCGGGAATTTTTAAAGGCAGGTGTCTTCCATCATCAAACTTGTAGTTTGATGAATAAAAGAAGAAAAGACATGCCCTTTTTCTTAAAAGTGTGACTAGGATATGGAAGTTAGACAACTGCACTCAAATCCTGCAATCTTTGGAGATTTCCCCGTTTTTCTATTCTTTGGTAAACTAGAAGGGTACTTCTTATGCTAACACTGAGAAGGACTCTGTTGTACTACGTGCTTGTTCTGTTTAAATATCTGTGGGTGCTAGCACACATTAAGAAGGGAGTTGGTTAGAAGGACATGAGGATACTCTGTAGAGTCCAGAAATGATTTAAGGACATGTGTTTTAGGAAACACTTTGGCTGGCATCAAGGTGGCCTCATTCC